CCGAGCAGAGCACCGCTGGACAGAGCAGGTACTGCCTCCGGGGCAGGCTGGAGGGACAGGAGACACAAATGGTCACCTGGCGTCATCTGGCGCTCACTGGTCTGCTAACTTTACTCAGGCATGAACATGCTGGCTACTGGAGTTCAGCCTCTGGCATACCAGTGTGGTGGTGGGCTTCAGAGGACCACCCCCCAGGAGCACGCACTGCAAGGGACGGACGCCAGGCCCCGCCCGGCGTCCAGATACCCCAACACCTGGGGCTGCCTTGGGAACCACGTTCATCCACGTTCCTTTCTCCATGTGCAAGGACTTCTCCGGGCTGTCTCTAAAGCTGTATTGGGTAAAAAGCGTGCCAACTGACGGGACAGCGGCGCGCCCTTGCTGGTCTTCTCGCGGGGCAGGTTGTCAGATAACTGCTTCCCTCCCTGGGACAACCTCTTGCCCCAGACCACGGGTGGGGCTGGGGGAGCCGGGGCAGGGGACAGGTGTCCTGGGGCAGAGCTTTCTCAGGGGGCGACAGCCACTGCCTGTGCAGTCAGGCTCTCATCTTCCCTGCCCTGATGGCCCAGGACCTGGGGATCCGCTTTGCTGCATGCCAGGGCTCGGGATGGCCCTTGGAGGGCCTGCAGTTTCCCCAGCTCTTCCTCCTGCTCCCGAGATCGACGTCTTCGCTGACCTCCGGGCCCAGGCGGCACAGTCTGGGGCACCCTGTGCCAGGTCAGGCGGGTCTGGAGCATCCTGTGCCTAGGTCAGGCCGGGACTGTCCAGGTGGCCCCCGACCGACCTGTGCACGGTGAAACACATGCTCATCATCCGGGTTCCTCTCTCCAGGCGGGAGGACTTCTCCAGGCAGCGGCCCGGAGAGCAAGGCGCTCCTGAAGCCCCAGCTCCCGTTTGCACGAGGCCCCATGCGTGCACGGTCGGCCTTTGCCCCCCACTGCCCGTGGAACGGCCACGTTAAACCAGCATCTTCCCAGCCCCCTAACGGCGAGGTCCAGGCGCAGGCCCAATCACCAGTCATAGGGGACGGGGCTCTGATTGGCCAGGTCCCGGGTCACGTGACCCTCCGGACCCAATCACAGTGAAGGAGGGCCCTGACTGGCTGGATGGGCACCTTTAAGGGGCTTCTGCACCGAGAGGGTTCGGGTTGCTGGGGGAGCTCGGCCTCCCATCCTGATTCCTTTGGGGGCCACTCCTTGTATCTCCTTTTTAAAAGAGGGGCCGGAGCGGCGGGACAGTCAACAAGTCCACTCAGGTTCAGTCCCCAGCACCCCATACGGTCCCCTGAGCCCACCCCGGAGTGATCCCTGAGCAACACCGGTATGACACCCCAAAAACCAAAAATAATAGGCAAGGGGGACAGTCTCTCCGGTTCCTCCAGCGGAGCCACACGGTCTCCCCAGCACAGAGCTGGGGGTGGTAGCCCCGCAGCACGGCCGGGTCCTGGGTTCCACCCGCAGGACACGCGAGGTGTCGTGCCCCCTCCCCCCCGTGCACCTCCAGGAATGTCTTACCTGTGAATAAGCACTAATCAGCGACATTGCCACCTGGGTGAGCGAAATTCAGTTGCATTCTTTTGGTTCATACCGCTAAACACCCCCTTTTTGTCTCCTGCTGGGGGTGGGGATCCCTACCCCTTCACTGCTCTGCGCAGGCCCAGGCCCGGGTCCCCTTCTCTCTTCCTGACACCTCCTCATCAAGACCCATGGCTGGGGTCCCTTGCCACCAGGCTCCCACCTAGGTCCCGGGGAAGGACAGGTGGACAGCGCTGAGCCAGCATCGGCCCAGTTGTGGGACGGAGTTCCAAGGCCACAGCGGCTGGATTCTCACCCAGCCTGGAGCAGAAGGCTGAATGCGCCCTGTGGCCGGTTCTCTTCCCCAGCCCTGTCCCTAACCCCTCCATCCTTGTTCACCCGCTGCCTTCTGGCCCGAGCTGAGGAGAAGGGAGACTGGGAGCCTTCATCTGGCCCCAGGGCTCTGGACTCAGTCCCAGCACTGAGTCAGTCTGAGCTCAGTGAACTGTGTCCAGGCAAGCATACCGGGGAGGGGGGGTCTGAGTGCCAAGATGAAGGCAGGCCGTACCCTACACACAGTATCCACCTTGGCGGAAGCCCCTCCACCCATGAGGAATCCCGCCCCCAGGGCCAAATCCATGTTTCCCTCCAGAGCCACGAGCTCGACATGAGCAAGTGAGCTTGGGATGCTGGGAAACCACGCACCAAGCCATCCCGCCCCCGCTCCACGGGGGTCCTACAAGGCACGGAGAGCTCATCAGCGAGTTACTGACACCCACCTGCCTGGACAGCGGCTGCCCCAGGCACCAGGGGGAGCCCCAGAGCTGCTCCCGCTCTCCCCAAGCTCCCCTTTGGCCGAGTGAGCTCAAAACCAGACACCTGCAGAAGTGGCTATGTCACGTGGGCAGCTAGAACAGAGGGTGCGATAGGGAGCAGCTGCTGTGCTAGGGGCTTCTCCACAGCAAGGGAGGCCCCTCGGAGGTGATGGCCTCTGAGCCCCAAACCAGCCCTGTTGACCCCCACCCCTCCACCGAGCTCAGCTGGCCCCAGCATAGCCCGAGGCTCAGTTAGAGTCCCCAAGAGACCCCCAAACCCTGGAGGCCTAGGGGAGCGCCCCCCCGCAGCCCCAGGGTAAGCAGCAGAAAGGGAAGGTGCGAAGGTCCTGTGGCAGGAATGAGCTGGGCAGCTAAATGCAGGGAATACGGGTGGCGCCCAGGGCTCAGGGCGCACCCTGCAGGCGGTGAGGAGCCTCTCCAGGTCGCTGGTGGGGCTTGACTTTGAGCAGCTCCAATGGAATGGGGATCAGGGGTGCAGGGTGCAGAGGGCAGAGTGAGTCAGGAGTGCAGAGGGGACACTGCATGGCTCCGGGGAGAGCCAACGGTGGGAGCTGATGGTGCCGAGGTCTCAGGTGTTTCTCCCAGGGGATATACTGGGGTGGTAACCTGGGGGTGACCCTTTCGAAACTGCTCTGGTGCTGGACTCAAGGACAAATGAAGCGGGGCCCGGATTTGGGGTCCGCTGGGGGTCTCAGCACACAGACCCAGGTGGACCCCCTCGACCCAAGGCAGAGACGTCCGTGCTGAAAAATCCTCTTCCACCAGAAAATGGGAGTGTGGTGATGCCCTCTGTCCCACGGGGCCCCCACGGGGCATGTCCCCACGTGCCTGCCTGAGCCTCAGTTTCCCCTCTGGGAAACTGAGCACCTGGGCAACAGTTTCACTGCTTTTGCATTCCTCTGGGTGCAGGTCCCAGGAGGGAGGATGTGTAAGCACTTGGCGGGGGTCAGAGACGCAGGCTGGGCTGGGAGCCAAGACTGAGACTCGGGCAGAGGGTTCGCCCCAGGGACTGCGCCCAAGGGCTGAGCAGGGCACGGGTGGGTGGGAGGGGCATCTGGGGTCCTCAGGGCACGGAGGACTCCCGTGTCCCCCTCCCAGGACTCCGGGGGTGCCCCGGTCTTATCTGTCGGAGCTCCCGCAGGACTGGGCAGATGCTTTGGAACAGGAAGTCTGGAAGCCAGGGGGGCTGGGGTGGGGCCCCCACGGGTGCGCAGAGGCTGGCTGCTCGTCTCGTGCCGCGGCCCTGGCCTGGGACCCGAGTGCTTTGCGAGAAGTGAAGGGGCAGCTGGGGACCCCCCGTTCCTGAGCCCTCCCAGTAACCCCAAACCAGCCCTGTTGACCCCCATCCCTCCACCGAGCTCAGCTGGCCCCAGCATAGCCCGAGGCTCAGTTAGAGTCCCCAAGAGACCCCCAAACCCTGGAGGCCTAGGGGAGCGCCCCCCCCGCAGCCCCAGGACTGTGTGGAGCCTCTGGGAGGTGCCAGGGTGGCCGAGACCCAGTGTTGCCTGAGCCCTGGGGCGGTGCCACCTCCAGCCAGGCTTGGGTTGCTGGGGTGCCCCCTGCAGTCCCTAGAGAGCGAGGACCCCTGGTTGGGCTGGGGAAAGTGCCCCCACGGCACCATAAGCCCGGGGGCTGCAGGAGCTGGGTCCAGTCCAACCTGCTGAGTCACCGCCAGGCCCCAGGCGCCCCTTCCGACACCCTCTTCGTTCTGGGACCGGCCCGTGTGGCGGGCACCTGGGCAACAGTTTCACTGCTTTCACATTCCTCTGGGGGCTCGGGGCACACCGCGGTGCCCCGGGGTCCCTCCTGGAGGAGACAGGGTGCTGGGGACTGAACCCAGCCTGACCACGTGCAGGGCGAGTCCCCACCTGCCGCTCGAGCTCCTGGGCGGGCTGCTTTCCTTTTTACATACAGTATCTGGGCGTTGTGGACAGGTTCAGAGCTCAAGTATCAGGCTGGGGTGATGGCCCAAAGGCGCCAGGCTCGACGCCCCCTGCACCAGATGGTCCCCTCACAGTGCCACCAGGAACACCCCGAGCGGATGCAGAGTTGCTCTGGAGCACTGTTGGGTGTGTGCCCCGTCCCCCCATTCCTGCCTCGGCCCTGCAGGGACACTGCAGCCATCCCTGGAGACCCCTCAGACCCTGGCGCCCAGAAGGGGACTGTTCTTCCTCTGGCGATACCCCCAGAGATACCATTGGCTTTGGCCTTGCACCCCTGAGCTGATCCCCAACCCAGGTTACCTCCTCCAGCGCCCCCCCTCCCCCCGCTACGCCAGCCACTCCCGCATCGGGCCCTGCTGCCTCTACAGCTCATCTTTGGGTCCCAGCCCCCACATTCTCTGGACATCTCCCCCCAACTAGCCACGACCCTCCCCGACACCATTCCTGGCTGGCACGAGAAGCACAGGGACCAACTCCTGCAGCCGAGTGTCGGCCACCGGGAGGGCCCCACCCCGGCCCTGCGCCGAGACGCCACAGCCTGGGCGTGGGGTCGCTGTGAGGCGGGTCCCTCCGGTGGCGCTCTGGGGCCAGTGCCGCAGGAAAAGAGACAGACACGGGCAGGTGCAAACAGGCTTTAATCCCAGCGGCGAGGAGAGCAGGGCTGGCCGGTGCGGTGGTCTGGGGGCAGGCGGGGGGCCTCTCTATGCCGGCACCTGGCGCCGCCTTGCCCGGGCCCCTCTTTGTGCTTCTGAGGTCCCCTCCCCCCAGGAACCCCGGGAGCAAGCAGGGCTGTGGGGACAGGGGCCGAGCGTTCTGCCTCCCGCTGCCCGGCCCCAAGGCCAGAGCTGAGGCTCAGACTGTCCCTGCAGCCGGGGATCCGGTGGGGAGTTGGGTGGGGGCTCAGAGTTGTCCTGGGAGAGGGGGCAGAAGCGGGAGGGAGCACTGCAGGGGGAGCAGACCCTGCCTCACCCATGTCCCTGAGTGCCCCTGCCTCGGAGGTGAGGGGCCCCACTGCCAGCACCCACCCCGAGGGGGAAGACAGCAACACTGAGGGCCAGGGAGGGGCACCCTCAGGACGCAGGAAGTCGCTCCCTGTGGGGACAGAGGCTCGGCCTTAGCCTTACGGCAAGCAGGGACGCGGGGCCGAGGCCACCACGGGAGGTCAGGATGGGCCGCTTTTGGTCACTTGTCCCCGCGGGGCCCCCACGCGGCCGCGGCTAGCACGAGGTGACCGGGTGGATGGGCAGCAGGCTCCCGAACTTGAAGTGTTGGATCACCGGGAACTTCTCCAGGCACTGCGGGCCGGGCAGAGCGCGCGTGTCGGGGGCCGGGATGGCTCGGCACCTGCCGCCCCCACCTCCGGGACCCCGCGGGCCTGGCACCCCTGGGCAGCCTTCGAGCGGCCTCGGACCCTGGGCCTCGGGCACAGCCGCCGGGTAGGAGGAAAGCGGCAGAGGGGGATCTGGGGAGCAAAGGCAGCTGCCGGGTGCTGAGGTCATGGAGGAAGTGTGGGAGTTTGCATTGGGGGCCCCCAGGGCTCTGGGAATTCCAGGAGGGGTCAAAGGCCACCCTACTTCTCTACAAGCTGCAAAGGCAGGAAAGAGGCTTGGGGGAGGGGTCACCCGCAGGATGTGGCCTGGGGGAGCCTCCCAGGAGAAGCTGCGGGGGTCCCTGCCAGGGCCCTGTGTTGGGGGCACAGGCACCCCCAGGCAGCTGAGGTCCTGCGAAGGGGGTCCACCCGGGCATGGGCCCGCATGGGTGGGCCAGCACCTGTTTCCAGGGCAGCTGAGCGGGCGGGGTGGAAACGCTGCTGAGGGCACCTGGGGGTGGTGGCGACACCCAGGCCCTGCCCTCCAGCACACACAGAGGGCGGCCAGCCCAGCCCAGTCCCCAGCACTGTGGCCCAGACTGGTCAGGGGCGGCAAACGCTCCCCAACACCTCCACCCCCCCCCCCGCCCCCCACAGGTCAACCTGAGCAGCACACAAGCCCTGATCCTGTGTAGGCTGGGGGCACTTTCTGGGTGCTACCATCCGCGGTCATCGGGGTGCTCTGCCCCAGCCCAGTAGGGGCTATAGGGAGGCCCCAGAGGATGGGCCCCACAGCCTGAGAGCGGGGTCAGGCTGGGTGCCCATCAGCTCGCCCGGGGGTGGCGCACAGGCTGGAGCCCAGGCCAGCACCACTGTCAGCCCAGTCACCCCCAGAGCGGCCCTCAAGGAGGGCAGGGGTGGGGGAGGGGAGCTGGGAGCCAAGGTGGGGGCTTTGGGGACCGGGCGCCCAGGCACCCTGGCCACAGCCAGCAGCAGCCCCTGTAGGTCTCCCCAGTCCTGTCCCCGCAGGGGGAGCTGCAGTCACGTGGCCCGCCCACCCGGGGGCCCCTCTCACCTCAGCCTTGTACATGCGGACGAGGCCCTGGTTCACCTTGGACCAGGTGGGGACGGCGCTGATGTTCCATAGCTGGTTGGAGTGTTCCGCGAAAGGGCCCGTTTTCATCTGCAAGAGACGCCGCCCCGTCCCTGCAGCAGGCCACACACGCATGCAGACACATGCACGCATGTGTAGGCAAGGCACACAAACATGTACACGGACAGACACGTGTCATCTGCACACGTAGGCATACATACATGTACAGATACACATATGCACCCACACATACAAGCGGTCAGACATGTACACAGACGTGTGCAACTGCATACATGTGGGCAGACATACATGTACATGGATACGCAGATAGGTGTGCATCTGCACAGGCAGGCACACATGCAGCCATATACACGTTTGCATCTGCATACATGTAGGCACATACATGCCCAGATACACACACATGCAGATTCAGAAGTGTGTGCACCTGAACACAGGCAAAGGGACACGTGCACACGCGTGTATGTCCGTGAATACACGCATGCGTGCAAATACACAGGCACGTGTGTGTATGTATAGGCAAGTAGGTGTAGGCACACACATGAATGCATGCCAGTTAACACGCTGTGCAGACATGTGAAGACACGCGTGTATCTGCATGTGCGGACAGGCATGTGTACATGTACAAACATGCACGTGATCTGTGCACACCGGTCAGCAAAGCACACATGCATGCATAGGAATGTGAGCAGGTATGTGTGAGTGTGGGTACATTGTGCAGACATGCATGTGTGCAAACACAGGTACCCACTGTACACGTACAGAAGTGCACAGACATTACACGTGTGGCTGTATGCAGACACAGCAGCACATGCACGCACATGCACGTGCCCAGGATCGCTCCCAGGCACACGCAAACACATGCAGGAGAGGGCCAGGCCCACCGAGGCACAAGGGCATCTGGGCCTGTCAAACCCACAGGAAGGTCCCCTCTGCCCTCTCCCAGCCCCAAAGAACCTGAACCCACCCCCCACAAATCTCAGAAAAATCAAAGCTTTAGCCCCAACTCCAGAGGGACTCCCACCCACGCCCCCCTGGAACCCAAGCAAGCGGAACCGGCTGGGACCCACCCCGGGCAGGAGGGAAGAGTGAGGAGCCGGCTGCCACCGCGGCTGCTCAGCGGCTGTGTCCCCTAGGTGCACAGCTGGGCTGGCCTCGCGGGCAGGGCCTGCTCCGCTCTGCAGCCCCCCACGACAGTCCGCCGGAAGTGCAGGCCGCGTGGGCGCGGGGCAGGGGCTGAGAAAGAAGAGCGGGCAGAGCTCAGAGGCTGCGCTGCCAAGGAAGCGGAGACTTGGACCCTGAGCGGGTGGACGGTTCCAGAAGAGGGTTGGGGGGTGGGCTGGGGGACGAGCTGTGCCACTGAGCCCGGAGGCGGCCGAGGCGCTGCCTGTCCGCAGGGGACTCACGCCGACCCCGACGGGCGGAGGGGGCGCCAACGGGAATCGCTGGCCGAGCGCGTGCACGTGGCCTGGCGGTCGGTCCCTGGGCGGAGGTGGGAGGCGGCCACCCACGGGAAGCCCACCCCGAGGCCGAGGCCCAGCGGAGCCAAAGTCCTGGCCGGCCGGTCGAGGCCCCGGCTCCCGGCTCCCACCCGCCCGGGGGCCGGCCAAGGCCCCTCCCCAGGCCCGGGGCGGGGGGGGGGGGGGAGGGCAGCGGGCCGGGGGGCGGGGCTCTCCCTCCCCCTCTCCGAGGGGCGCGGGCGGCAGCGGGCAGCGGCCGGCCGGGCTGAGTCAGAGGCGCAGGCCCGGCCGGCAGGAAATTACTCACAGCCGCGGCTCCCCCAGGACCGGCTTTGTCAAAGGCGGCTCTGTGGCCCGGCGCGCCCGCCCTTCCTGCCGGCCCCTTCCCCTCCCGAGGGCTGAAATCGGATCCTCCCTCCCCGGCTCCCGATTTAGACGCGCCGGTCGAAACCCAGGTCCTTTCCTGCCGGCCGGGGCTTAAGGGCGCCGGGAGCCCCCGCGGCCCTCGGCCTGCGGCGCGGCGGGACACGCCCGCGTCCGGGGGACCCCGAACCCGAACCCGAACCCGAACCCGAACCCGGGCGCTCGGGCCCGACCCCGGCCCCGGCCCCGCCGCGCCCGCCGCGCCCCGTCCGCGTGGCTCGCGCGCCACCTAGCGGCTGCCGCAGGGTCCGCAGGCCGGGCCGGCGGGGCGGGGCCGGCGGGGCGGGGCGGCCCCGACTTGGGCGGTTCGCGGTTCCCGGCCCCGCCCCCCGCCCCCCGGCCCAGCCGGCGCGGAGACCCGCTGCCCTCCCGACCTTGCCCGGCCGCTGAGGGCAGCGACCTGCAGAGGGCTCACTTGCTGACTCGAATGTGGGCGGGCGTGGCCAGCGGCTACCTCGGGGCTGGAGTGGTAACACAGCGGGTAGGGAGGGTGTTTGCCTTGCATGCGGGAACCCGGGTTCGATTCCCAGCATCCCATACAGTCCCCTGAGCACCGCCAGGAGTCATTCCTGAGTGCATGAGCCAGGAGTACCCCCTGTGCATCGCCGGGTGTGACCCAAAATGAAAAAAAAACAAGGCGCCTACCTTCATAGCGAGGTCCCCCAGCCCCCCCTGGGAGTGATCCCTGAACACTGCTGGGTGTGGTCCCCCAAACAAACAAAAAGGCAGTTCCCAGCTCTGGTCCTCCAAGGCAGCGTGGACGCCCGCCTCAGTGACCCCCACACAGCCAGGCCGCAGGGGACACACATGCCGAGTGGCCAGGACAGGACCACCTGGGCTGCTCACATGCTGCACATCTCTCCCCCGCCACAGGCAGCTCATGGGCCCCTCGAGACCCACCCTGGGGGCCGCCCTGAATGCTCGGCTGGCAGCGCCACTCACCTCGGTGATGAACAGGACACACTCCAGAAACATGTAGTCCTTGTGGTTCTCGTTCACCGCCTTCTCGTCCACGAAGTGCCTGGGCTCCAGGTACGGGTGGTCTGCAGACAGCCAGGCGCGGGGGCTTCAGAGCTGCCAACCCCACCCCACCTCCCCTGGGATCCCACGAGTGCTGTGAAGGCCGAGGCATGCCCCCCCCCCAGTACCTATCAGCTGGGAGCTGCCCCAGATGAAGGGCAGGAACTGGAAGTCGTCCAGCCCCCACACGCCCTGGCTGCCGGCCGGCTCCATGCGGTAGGTTTTCTGGAGCTTTCGCATGACCTCGAGGTACCTGGGAGGGGTAGCGGGTCAGACCCCCGGGACTCGCTGCCCCAGGAACATGGGTGGGGGGCGGGAGCACTGAGCCCCAGGAACATGGGGGGGGCGGGAGCACTGAGGGGGAGCATGAGGCTGGGAGCACGAGAGGGAGCACACACAAATGGCTGAAAGCCAGTGAGGCCCCAGGGCTCCCCTCCAGGAGAGGGGCATCCACGCTGCAGGGCTGGAGGGGTCCCGACCCCGGCCACGCGCCCCAGGCAGGCAGGATGTGTGCCCCCACCCCCCATCTCCGAAGTGACGAGCGTGGCGTCCCCACGGCAGCCTCACCGGTTGAAGACCTTGAAGACAATGGCGATCTGGTCGTCCACCCGCAGCACCCCAATCTTGCAGAGGCAGCAGAGGAAGGCGGCGAAGGCCGCTTCATGTCCTGGGGAGACGGCGAGGTGAGGCAGGGGGACCGCCCCAGGACGCCGGCACCGCTCTTGGCCTCGCTGGTCAAACGGGGCGGCTGGCGGCTACAGAGCAGGCCCACGGGAGGGGGGGCGCAAGAGGGGGCACAAGGGAAGGGGGGAAAGGGGGCGCTATGCCCACCCCACAGGCCACACCTCAGCCTTCTCAAGGGTCACGTTTTATTTACTTCTATTTCATTTTACACTTTCTGTTCGGTTTTGTCTGGGGCACACCCTGCAATGCTCACTCCGGGATTGGGAATTCCTCCTGGCGGTGCTCGGGGACCATATGGGATGCCCGGGGATCCAACCCAGGTCGGGTGCACGCAAGGCAAACGCCCTACTCTTTCTGCCCCCTCCTATTTTATTTCGGCACGTGCAGCAGTGTGCGTGTGTTTGTGTGTTTGTGTTTGTGCACACGTGCTCCAGCCAGCAGTACCCAGGACTACTCCTACCTCTGTGCTCAGGAGTGACCCTAGCAGTCCTGAGGAAAGACACTGACGCGGGGCAGACAGCGGTCAGCCACACGGAGCCCAGGACCTACCTGCCCCTGGGCACCCTCCCTCCAGTGGCCTCTGCTGGCCTGACCGCCATGCTCTGGACTGAGCACTCTTGGGGGTCAATGCCGTCTATGACAGGCATTGGAGACAGCAACGTCATGGCTCGAGGGAGCCCCTCACAAGACCATGGCTTCCGTGACAGACCGGGAAAGAGCATCCTAGGCCCATCACAGGGGACAGGAGGGCCACGCCAGGAGCAGGGGGCGGCAAGCGCCTTCTTGCCGGGCACCGGTGGGCTGTGCAGAGCAGGGGCCCAGGGAGACGTGGCAAGGCGTGGCTGGCATGGCAGGTGGCGTGGTGTGATCTGGCTGGACACACCAGGACACCCTGACCTCACAGCGTCCTTTCCACTGCGTGAAGGTGAGGAGCCCGGGTTCCCGGCTGGCCCCGCCCCCTTCAGGAGCTGCCACACACACACACACACACACACACACACACACACACACACAGGTGAGGAGCCGGGGCCCTGGGGAGCAGCCCTGCCCCATCCTCAGGGCAACAGCCCACAGGCTCCTGAGGCTGCCACCCTCTGTCCCCCCAGGCCCTGGGCCCTGTGCTGGGGTGCTCCCATCAGCACCCCTCCCAGAGCAGAGAAGGTGCACACATGCACGGGTGCCCCCTGGTGGTGCAGAAAGCACGGGGCCGCACCTGTGCCATAGTCGATGCGCGTGGAATTCCCCACCGACTCCTTCAGGTAAACGGCCACTTCGGGCACTGCAGCTGCCAGCTGGGCAGGGACCACTGTGGCCACCAAGTTTTCTGCTTCCTGGTGAGGCCAGAGACACAGAGGGTGGTGGCTGATTAGGCCGCAGCAGGCAGAGGGCTGCAAGCCTAGAGAAGGTGCTGGGGGCTTCCGCCCGCTGCCCCTGCCCCTGGTAACGGGTCTGGGCCCACACGGGAGGAGCTGCGAGGCAGAAGCCCCCGGACACCTGTGGGTGAGCTCCGTGACTCAGACGCACCGGAGGGCAGTGCTGGAATCCCGTCCTGCCCAGGCACCCACGCAGTAGCTCGGACCAGCAGTGCCCAGAGGCCATACCCCAAGAGCACTGTTCCTCCACTGCAAGACGTCGTGGGGATGACATGGCGGGGAGGGCCAGGCGCAGGGAGACCCTGATGGGGGTGGGGAGGGAAGCCTGGCACAGGGAGATGGGGGGGCAGGATCTCCCAGGCTCAGGGTCAGCCGACACCCACAGGGCATTCAAATGCCGGGAACCAAAAAAGCTTGGGGGGTCCGGGCCAGAGCGAGAGCACAGTGGGGCGGGCACTGGCCTTGCACACAGCAGACCCGGGTTCGACCCCCGGCATCCCACACAGTATCCAGGAGTGATTCCCTGAGCAGAGCCAGGAGTCAGCCCTAAGCGGCTGGGTGTGGCTTCAAAACAAACAAACAAAAAAAACATGGGGGAGAACGGTCCAGGTCTGGATGTCCCCCCGCAGCAGAGAATTCCCTCACGTGAGGCCCTCCCTGGATTTGACCCCCAATGTCCTCATCCGGAGCTGGGGGACCAGCCCAGGAACAGCCTGAGCCCGCGTGGGGCGGCCAGCCTCGCTGATGCCAGCCTTGCTGGCGAGCCTCAACCCGTATCATCTCTCTCCTCTCTCTCTAATGTTTTTATTTATTTATTTTTGCTTTTGGGATTTCACCCAGTAATGGTCAGGGGTTGCTCCTGGCTCTGCACTAAGGAATTATCCTGGCGATGCTCAAGGGACCAAATGGGATGCCAGGGATCGAACCTGGGTCAGCCTCATGCAAGGCAAATGCCCTCCCCACTGTGCTATTGCTCCAGCCTCCCCCCGCCCCCCACACCCGGCCATCTCTTGGGCAGCTCCGAGGTTCTTTATCAAACATCTTTTTTCCCTTCCCCATTTCTGCCATGCGCAGCCCCTTGGGCTAGTGACGCCCACCCTGCCGGGGCCCTGCGCAGCAGCGGGTCTGAGGGACTTGGAGGGGAATGATTTTCACCACCCGGGCAGCCTTACCTGGTCAAGCTTGGCGTACCAGGTCCTGAAGGCCTTGTTCCCGAAGCGTGACGGCTGGTCCACTGGCGGCGTCTCGTCGATCCACCTGTCCAGGGTGTTCAGAAGCGCGACCAGCTTCTCGATGGCCTGTGGAGAGGGGGGCCAAGCTCCGGTGAGGCACGGCCCTGGCAGGGGGAGTTAAGGGGGACCTGAGCTGGACCAGCCAGACCCCCATGTTGCAGGTGAGTATGCCTCAGCACTCTCCCAGGGAGCGTGGGGGGGGGAGGGGGTCCAGGAGGAGGCAGAACTTTCCAGAAAGGAGTGGGCGCTGGTGTGTGTGTGGATGGAGCTTCTTATGAAACAGCTACTGCAGCCCCTTTGTCCAGCTCACGGCCTCGGCACGAAGGGCAGAAGTGCCACCCACAAATGCCCAGGGCGGGGCCAGAGCCACAGCACAGTGGGAAGGGCACTACTGACGGGGTTCAATCCAGGGCTCCCCATACAGTCCCCGCCCAGCCCAGAGTAAGCCTGAGCCCTGCTGGATGTGGCCCGAATAAAAATAAGAAATCCACAGGGCCAGGGGTTGGAAAGAGAGTTCAGCGGGTAGGGCGTCTGCTAGTGACACCCAGCTCATGTGGGTTCAATCCCTGGGCATCCCAGTTGGTCCCATAAAAAATAAAAGAAAAAAGAATTTTTTTTGGGGGGGGGGGATTTTTTTTGGTCACACCTAGTGATGCTCAGAGGTTCCTCCTGGCTCTGCGCTCAGGGTCACTCCTGGTGGTGTTTGGGGAACCGTAGGGGGTACCAGGGACCAAACCGGGTTGGCCGCGTGCAAGGCAAGTCCCCTCCCCACTGTCCTGTCACTCTGGCCCCAGGAGAATTTTGCAGACAAAGGGACCTGGATGTGAGGCTGGCTGACTTGGGGTCTGTTTCTTCATCTGAAGCAGGCCTCCGGGTTGGAGACATGGCGGGGGTCCCGGCACCCAGGGCTCTGCCGCCCACCGGCTTCTCTGGGGCCCTTGCTCCACCGTCGCCAATGACGAGCGCCTCTGTACCCGGGACCCCCACTGTGCAGTCACGCTCCTCCGCCAAGGCGGGACTATTTGCAAACAAGCAACCAGGAAATGAGAGCATTGGAGCTGTGGGGCCAGAGGCACGAGGGACGGGGCCAGAGGCACAAGAGACGTCAGCACTGGGGCTGCAGGGTCAAAGGCAGGACAGGGGTGCCCGGCCTGTCTCCCTACTCCTTTCCCACGGCAGGCGGCATTAGCACACCAGGAGCCTGGGTGAGGCAATCGGGCGAGGCTGGCACAGGGAGCACGGGCCTGGGGCGTGGCCAGCCCAGGAGGCCCCCCTGCAGCCCCCCCCCCCGAGACTGCCTACCGAGCCCCACGGCCCGCACAAATGGAAGGGAGGAGGGAGGAACCCCGGGAAGCAGCGGTCCGGGGAGCAAGTCTTGGTCCGTTCCTCTGCGCAATGCAGAGCCCAGGGCAGGGCGGGTGGGGTGGAGAAGGGCCGAGGGCAGTGGGGATTTGTGGGGACAGCGCCCCCTCCCGGGCCATGCCCGTGCTGTTGCCGTCACCCTTCCCCGGCATTTCTGGGGGCTGGGGTGGGGGGTCAGAGTCCAAGACGTGGTGCCCGGATGGCCCCCAAGGCGGCGCTGAGCTAAGATAAGGAAGAGAGATAAGGGAGCTGCACACACCATGCTCCACGCAGACGGCGGCCGCACCCCAACAAGGCAGCTTGGGAGGAGGAGGGTTCCAGAAGCTCCTCGGGGTGGCGGCACAAAGGTCAGGGCGCAAGTTCTGCCCAAAGAGGCCCCACTCCGCCCACTCCGGGGGGCTCCCTGTCCCCTCAGGGGTGACCCTGGTGCCCCCCAAACACCACTGGCTGGAGCAGGGAACTGTCCAGATGCTGGAGCCTGGCGATGTCCTGGCCCCCTACTGCTAGAGGTGAGAGTGGACGGCCGCCCAGAGGTCACCCAAGCCTGCTGGCCTGGTTTCAGCTAGCAGGAAACAGGCCGTGGGCAAGGCCACACCTGGCAGGTGTGGACATCACCAGCTAAGCCACGGGGGCGGGGCCAGGCCCGCAAGGGACGAGGCAGCGCAGGTCACCACCGAGACCCTGCGACTCGCTCAGTGCCCTGACCGCTCCAGGCACAGAGCCGGGACCCTTGGATCCAGAGCCCCCGGGGGTCACCGGGGTCCGGCTCCTGGCCCACTCAGTGCCTCTCCGCCAGAGGGTCGCTGAGCCAGCCGGGGGTCCCGGGGGCAGCTGGCCCTGCTCAGACCTCCCGGCCAGAAGAAAGAGGCCCAAGTGGGACAGAGCTCAGGAGCCCCGGGGCCCAGTTCCGGGAAGTGTCCCCAGCCCCACGGCCGCCCAGCGCCTACCTCAGACACCTTGTACTCGAAGGTCAGCTTCTTGCCTTTCACGCCTTCGTTGAGGGTGAGGATGAAGCCGATGTAGTCAGCATAGGCCTGCGAGGGGCAGGGAACGGCACAGTCGGTGTGTCACCGCGTGCAGGCAGTGTCGCCGCCTTCCCCTAAGCCCTCGCCCGGCTGAGAGGCGCTGAGGAGCCCTTGGCGCCTGGAGTTGGCACCCCGGAAGGGGCTCTCGGGCACCAGTGCCCACCTGGGGGCTCCAGGAGAGCCAGGGGGCCCCACGGGGTGCTCGGCACAAGGACCGAGGGATCGGGGCAGGGTCAAAGTGCGGGCGATGGCCCGGCGACAGGCCACCTCCCCACAATGGGTGTGTGCATGTGTGTGTGTGAGAGAGAGAGAGAGAGAGAGAGAGAGAGTGTTGGTGCATTTCTTGGTGAGTGTATGAGTGTGTATGTTTCAGTGTGTGTGTGAATGTGTATGTGTGAGTGTGAGTATAGTGTGTGTATGAGTATGTCTGTGAGTATGGGTATTTCTGAATGTGTGAGAGGGCATGTGTGTTTGGGAGTGTGTGAGAGTGTGTGTGTGTGTATGTGTGTGTGTATGGTGGTGAAAGTGTGAGAGAGAGAAAGCGTGTATGGGAGAGTTAGTGTGAGTGAATGTGAGTGTGTGTATGTTTAAGTGTGAGTGTGAGTATGGTGTGAGTGTGTATGAGTAATGAGTATGTTTGTGAGCTTCGGTATTTCTGAGTGAGAAGGCGTGTGTGTTTTATGAGTGTGAATGAGTGTGTGTGAGAGTGTGAGTAAGAGAGTGTGCAGGAGCGTTAGAGTGTGAGTGTGGAATGTGGTTGGGAGTGTGTGAATGAATGTGAGTGTGTGAGGGTGAAAGTATGAGTAAGACAGACATTGTGGGAGCACTGAAGTGTAGAGCGAAGTCTGTGTGTGTGTGTGTGTGTGTGAGTGAGTGTGAGTGGGGGTAAGTGGCGGAGGTGGGGTGCCGCGAGGGAGGGCCTCTCAGGTCCCTGGGTGGGGGCATCTGCCCTCTCGAGCGCTGCCCACCCCTGCTCAGGCCACTTCCACCCCAGCCCCCGCCAGCCCGCAGAGGCAGACGCCGATCGCCCCTGGGCCACAGGGCACCTGGCCGAGCCCCGTACCTGAGAACGCTTCCATTTGCCCATGTCGGGGACCGTGTGAATCTCCTTCTTGGGAATGATGAAGCTCTGGGCGGTGGGCGCATCCTCGGGGGCATCTTTGAGAAGGAGAGTTCAAACACACAGGGTGAGGGGTCAGAGGAAGGATGGGGGTGGGGGGGCGCTGGCTTTGCACACGGCCAGCCTGGGTTTCCATCCTGGCATCCCATGTGGTCCCAGAGCACCGCCAGGAGTGATTCCTGAGTGCAGAGCCAGGAGGAACTGCTGAGCGCTGCCAAGTGTGACCTCAGAACAACAACAACAAAAACAACAACAACAGAACACACAAGGGTGAAACCCGGACAGAGCAGAGCCGGCAGTGAGTCTGCCTGACGCAGCAGCCCACCCTGGCCTACCCAGCCTGCCAGGAGCGACCCAGAGCACAGAGCCAGGAGGAAACTCTGAGCACTACTGGGTGTGGCCCATAAACAATAAAAATAAAATAAAATTAATCAACAAGGCCGGAGCCACGGTATGGTGGGGAGGAAGAGGGTGTTTGCCTTCCATGTGGCCGACCTGGGCTCGATCCCCAGCATCCCATATGGTCCCCAAGCACCTCCAGGAGTAATTCCTGGGTGCAGAGCCAGAAGGAACCCCTGAGCATCGCTGGGTGTGACCCAGAAAGCAAATAAATTAATCAATAAACATATGGAAAGCACAGGGGTGAACCCGATAATCATCTCCGCATGGATCACTCATGGGCACACTGGGGTTGGACGCACGCACACACACCTTCATATCACACACCCCAGCCCAGCCCCAGGCACAAACCAGACGCAGGCTGCCAGGAGAGAGGGATGGGCAGTCCGGGGCTCTTGCTCTGCACCCCGGGACCAACGTCAAGCCCTGGCGCCAATGCCCTGCTCACCCGTGGCAGACGTGGGGAGGTCCTGGAGGGCCCTCGCCTGAACCACCTGCTCCACTGGCCATGGACCACCAGGAGGGGCCTCCAGTCTGAGTCCTGCCTCAGAGGCCCCCCAAATAAAACGAAAACTTTTAAAAAACCACAAGCCAGAGTGACAGTATAGCAGGTTGGGCATCTGCTTTGCATGTAGGTGACCCAGGTTTAATTCCCGCATCCCATACGGTCCCCCAACCCCGCCAGGAGTGATCCCTGAGCACGGAGCCAAATCCCTGAGTACTTCTGGGTGTGGCCCCCAAACAAAACTCAAATAAAAGTGAAAATTACAAACTCATCAGCACTGCCTTTCTGCAGGAGAGGGGGGCAGGGGGAAGCTTAGACGCTCAGTGGCTCCGCCACGCCTCACCTCCTGTCCCCGGTTTCTACCAATAACCCCCAACTGTGGGCTCCCTGTGGCAAAAACACTGCATCACGGTCCTCAGGCGGGCAACTCCATCTCCTGGCAAATGCCCCCTCAAGGACCACACCGCCACCCCCGGCCCCGGCAGGGACCATGCCAGGTACTGCCCCCAGCTCCTGAAGGCGTGCTCACGCACCCAAGGGCTTCAGTTGATTACTACCCGGGGGGAAAGGGGGTGCCCAGGGTTTACTCCTGGCGGGGCTCAGGACACCCCCATGTGGTGCTGGGAATGGAACCAGGGTCGCGTCCTCCCCACTGTACTATCTGGCTCACATTTCTCAGTTGAAGAGGGCCACTGGGCACCAGCAAACAAGTATAAATGAAGGTGCCCCCTTGTTCATGCGGCTGACCCGAAAGGCCCCGGCATCGCATGCTCCCTGGAGCACCACAAGGACTCCTGAACCCAACGCCAGGAAGTTGGGTTCAGCCCCTCTGGGCGTGACCACCCCCCCAAAGAAAGCAAACCGAAAAACAGGCTGGAGCGAGAGCACAGTGGGTAGGGCGCTTGCCTGGCACAAGGCAGACCCAGGATTCAGCGCCGGCATCCGATAGGGTTCCCTGAGCACCACCAAGAGTGAGCCCTGAGTGCAGGGAAGAAGCCGTGAGCATCGCTGGGTGTGGCCCAAACACCAAACCACAAACAAAACCAAACCCCAACAAAAACCTGCAAGAATGAAACATAAAGGGCCCGTGGGCAGGGGTGAACCTCGGGAGCAGGTGCCTGGCTGCAGGCCAGGTGGCCTCCAGCCTCTGCGAGGAATGAAGGAACACGAACACGGACACGGAAGGACAGGAGCCCTGTCCTCAGGAGGCCTGGCTGGCTCCTGCTCTGCCCAACCCAGAGAGGCACTGGGGGCCACCCCCAGGCTCCGCGCGGGGGAGGAGCCACTGGACACCACCGGATATGACTCGAAAGTATGTTAATAACTAAATATCACGTGGGGGAGTGAAGGGCGCAGAGCAACAGTCCCGAGGGCAGAGCAAATACCTGCCTCACACACTGACCGGGTTTGAGCACCGCCAGGAGTGATCCCTGCGTCAGGATCACTGCCCGCAGACGTGGTCCTCCAACAAAGATCTTACGTCTTGTTCCCAGAAGCTCGGTTTGCTTCAGCAAGATCAAGGCAATCTCAAGGTCGTCCCCACGCTAAGTGCTCCACTCCCATCGCATCATCTCCCGGGCTACTGGTCCTTTCTGTCCTCAGCGCTGGGGACAGCCCGGGAGGCCTGCAGGCGGCCACGGGCCCACGGCCCCCTTCACCTGACCAGCAAAGGCCCTCTCCTGGCACACCCCCCCCCAGGTACACCTACAGAAAACATCAGATGGGTGTTACCACTCCCCTCCAGCTGCCACGACAAAAGACCCCCACGGTCACTATCTGGGAGGAGGCGTCCAGGTCACTGGGGCCATAAGGGCAACCTTCAGAAGGTTCCCATCAAATCCGAGTTCTCCAGCTACAAGTTAATGGCCAACACACTGGGGGTGGGGGTGGGGTGTTAAGTCTTGGGGTCCCTAGATGGTGCTCAGGGGCCACATGAGGAGCTGGGGACCGAGCGGGTCACCGGCAAGGCAGACCCCCGAGCTGACTCTCGGTCTATCTGAGGCTTCAGTTTAACCTCCACCCACAGACAGACTCTACCCCAGTTTGGAGCACGGCCCCGGCCCCGTCTGGAGCAGGGCACACCCTGTGTTTAGACTTGCACCTCCCAGACCCGAGAGCATTCTGGCCCGAGACTCCTGGCCTCAGTGCTGCGGTCGAACCTGCGACAAGAAAATTCCAGCCTCAGTGCCAGGCCTTCCGCAATCCACGGAGTCTCTGGGGCACGGCTGACAAAGAGCCGTCCCTTCGGGGGCCAGGGCGCCTGGATAGCGGGAAGGGCACTGACTTGCACAGGACTGACCTGGTTTGATCCCCGGCATCCCAAGGAGTTCCCCAGACCCCCCCAGGATTGATGCCTGCGTGCAGAGTCAGGAGTAACCCCTGAGCATGGCCAGGTGTGGCCCAAGAACAAAACCAAAAATAAACGATCTGCCCGTGTCCCACCGTACAGAACCCGCAGAGCCCGCAGTCACCCCTACAGACATCCACCTCACCCCCACCGTTTCTCTGCCTCCTCCGTGGGCCATCGGGCTACATTTTGTCTTTTTGGTTTTTGGGCTACGCCCGGTGGTGCTCTAGAGCCGACTCCTGGCCCTGTGCTCCAGGATCACTGCTGGCAGGGCTCAGGGAACTGATGGTGGTGCCAGGGATCAAACTCTGGTCAGCTGCTGCAGGGGAGTGTCCTGCCCCTGTCCCGTCTCTGGCTCCTGGGCTGCTCGGCTCTCAGCAGATAGTCATCAGACGAGGCTTAGGCGGATCTTGCCAGGTGGAAGACAAGAAGAGGGGGGGGGTGTGTGGCTGCTTTCTGGCAGTTAACTACCCTGGCACCACGCTGGCTGTTCCAACAAGACTGGAAACAAGACGATCCATGCCAGCCCCACCCAGCTGTGGTCAGGCAGGGGTGAGACCACCCTGGGAACAGCACCCATTGGGGTACCGGGGAGAACCCTGGCTGGTTCAGCAGCAAGGTGCCTGGTGACCATGTGGACAGAGCTCCGGAACCGGCCGCATGAGGTCTGGGATCAGGTCCTCCGGCCCAAGGTGGGGTGTGCGCCCCCGGGGTCGGGGGGGGGGGATACTTCCTGTCATGCCAGGGTCCACGCCTCACCCAGGTGGTACCAGAGGCCGCCAAGCTTTCCACACTTGCTCATGGGGGCCACAGCAACTGGACAGCAGGTGTGTGTGTGGGGGGGTTGCCTTGCGAGGGGCTGAGCCGGGTTCCATCCCCAGCATCCCACAGGGTCCCCCAAGCAACTGGGTAGGGTCCCAAAACAAAACAAAAACTTCCGACCAGCTCAGTCTTCCACAGGTCGCTTTGCACTGTGAAGAGAAACATACTCTGGTGATGGATGTGGTGTTGGAACATTCACACAGCTTCTCAACGACAGGATGGCAAATTACGGTGACGTTTAAAAAAAAATCCAAATAAATTAAAAATAAATAAAAGGTAGCTCGTGGAGGTTGGAGAGACAGTAGAGAAGGGGTGCTCGCTTTGTAGAACTGCCAGCCAAGGTTGATGCCCGGGACCCCACGGGGTCCCAAGTCCCATCAGGAGTGACAGCTGTGTAAGGCCGGATATGGCCCCAAAAAGCGTAACGAAGCAAAGTAAGTGGCTACCGAACGAGAGCGCTCGAGGGCTGAACACACGCTGTGCGTGCAAGAACAGGCATGTCGAACCTGTCACTGGGCGGCCTCTGCTCCAGCACCACCAGGTGGGGCCCCCAGACCACAGAGAGGCCTGGTCACTAGGGATTCTGTTTTTGCTGCCCTGGGTCACTCCGGGGCTTGTTCCTTGCTCTATGCTCAGGGATCACTCCTGGCCCTGCTCGGGGCTTACACGAAGGATCAAATGCACACTGTCAGGCCGGAGCGATAGTCCAGCGGGGAGGGCGTTTGCCTTGCACGCGGCCAACCTGGGTTCAATCCCCAATGTCCCGTATGGTCCCCCCAGCACCGCCAGGAGTGATTCCTGAGTGCAGAGCCAGGAGGAACCCCTGAGAATCGCCAGGTGTGACCCAAAAAGCCAAACAAAACAAACAAAAAATTGCAAGTTGTCCCCACCCGAGCCAGAATAAGGGGGGGGGGGGGATGAATGGGGCCACGGGGGCAGGGGCCAGACGGAGGCTGGTGACGCAG